CATTTTTGAACAAACTGGAATCAAACTACATAAAGAAGCTTGAAAGTTTTCTGAGCTGGAAGGAGTCTTACACATGAAAGATTTAAGTTAGGAGAGTTGAATATATCAATATTGCTACAAGTGCTCGAGAGAATAACGGTCGGATAAATTAGGGTCGACAGAAAGGGAGTTAAACAAAACGAATATGAGTTAAGGGGAAACAGGAAACAAAGGGAATAAAAAAGGCGAAGCACCTACTGTCCGGATATGATTCTCCAATACTCGGGAGATAGGCCATCGCATGCTCAGTATTTTCCTTAGCAATCACAGTAAGATTGCTAATCTGGAATTTATCGTTTCCTGTCAGGTCCTCGAGCGAGTTCTTATAATCTTCCGCGACTTCATCGGAAGCAAGTCCTGTAGACATGCTGGGTACTTGATATGCCGATGTAATCGGGAAAGGATCAAGAACAGACAACAACAAAGGATATCGCAAGAAAGAGCAAGGGAAGGAGAAATGGAATAGAGAACGGAAATGTAACCAGGGCAAAAGGCGAAAGAGATTTCCCTTGGAAGTTTGCGAATTGTCTTGTTTTAGCCAGGAGTATTGTGAATGGATTCTTTTTCTTTTTTTTTTCTTTTGTTCTCTGTCTTCTGTGGTTGTTCCCTTCCCCTCCCTCGTCTTTCCAGTGAAGCCGCAAGCTTCTGCTAATTTGAGAGTGCGAACGAATTGACAAGAATAGGCACGACAGAATTTGTAGAATGGTTGCTAAGCTATTCTCTTCAAAAACTTGACAGACAAGCCGATGTGAAACCCCAGCTGCAAAAGTATGTATCCTTCGTAAACCATCCGCCAACCAGTAAGACCACCGTACAATGCCGCCCGTCCTTTTCCCCGTACTTCTCAGCGACGAATGCCAAATACCCCAACAGTGAGCGTGCTGGCAGCTAAGGAAAATGCCCTGGACGATAGTGGGTGTTATGGATATGTTTGCCGATGAGGCAAGCCAAGGAAGGAACCCGAGATGCAAAATTTGGAAGAGGACGACGGGGAATGATAATTAGTAAGTACAATTGAAGGCAAGAAGAAAACAGAATATCAAATCCAGGGGGGCTGACGGAAGCGGTGGTTATCTATCCAGGGATATTCAACAAAGGAGCTGGGGTGATGTTGGAGTTGGCTGGAGTTGGTTGTCGCATGTGGAAGCTCGCTGGAAAGGATTTGATGTTCTTCAGAGCCTGCTGCATGAGTCAGCTGAGTCCACGTGAATCTCACGTGAGCCCAGGGATGTGGCTTGTTTCGGAATGCCTTGCACTCCCATCATTGCTTGACAAAATCGTACAGAGGATCAGAGAAAACAGTTGCAGTTTATATGAGAGTTGAAAACGCCTCTATACAAATGAGAGCATCATCTTCAAGAAGCTACATAACCCCGCTACATTCCTCTCATCATTTTATAAATTATAATTGATAGATTTGAATCATGAATCTATATCTATCTCTGTTATTAACATAACATTTAATACCTGATGATAAGTACCAGTATTGATGGAGATATTAAAAATTGAAGTTTTGTTATGAATGTATACTAATCTGTATGAAGTAATAGAATTCAGAATAGAGAGCACCCACCTGCCACTATCTGCCCTCTGTGAATAGAATATGTCTCATAAAAAGCACTCTGTCTACATACCTACCCACCACCACCAATCCATATCTACTAATGATTCTCTGTTCGTGGAGGTGGGTAGGTAGGTAGGTAGATAGAGTGCTCCAATCGCTCCATCCAACCACCACCACCATTGATCGACATCTATTAATGAGCATATACATTGGTTTATATAGTATCTAGCTAGCTCCGACAGGTATTTTAATATAATATAGAATGATTTGGTGATGGTATCTTCTATTTCCTTGAGATCTTAGCAAGTGTAGCTTCTGAAGATAAAAAGTGGCATTCTACAACAAGCTACGTCACTTTCATCCAGTTCATATCCATCTATCCTTAAGGAGAGTTAATCTCTGTTACTTACACTGGAAGTGCCAAATTAGGTTTAGTGTGTGCCAGATGGAATGTGATTGGCTCATCCATCAGTGGACTTGTCAGATGATAGTAGTAGTCCGAAACAAGTTAGTGTTCTGAGCGAAGTGGCGGAATCTGGGTCGCAGTGTCATTCCACGTCAGGATATCGCTCCCAAGCAACGTTGGATTAGTTGGACGTTTAACCCATCTTCACTCGTGACAACCTCACCATGAAGATCCACATCTTAACTCTACTCTGGGCTATTCTTTTGCCAACCGTCCTCGCTGAAACTCGACTGGGACCAGAGAAGGCAGTGTTGGTCACTTATCCTTCAAAAACACCTGACTCCATCATCGAAAAGGCTATACTCGCTCTCGAGGCCGCAGTATGCAACCTACCTATCATGCTATCCATTATGGAGAAATCTGATTGCTAACCAAGCCTTACTTCAATGATTTGAACAGGGCGGAGAAGTAACTCATAAGTTTGGTAGGTTGCTGCTGCTCTCATATGTACTGTATATATTTCTACCGGAATGGATGCCTAGGGGGAGTTTCTGCTAACTCACGGCTTTGTTATTCAGTGCTGATCAAGTATGGTCCCTTCCGCACTTTTATATCTCTATTTATGCCACCCGCTAAGATGTTGGAAACTAGGGGCTTTGCTGCAACTGCGCCCGCAAAGGCCTTGGAAATGCTTTCATCATTGTCGGTTGACTTTGTTCCGTGGATCGAAGAAGATCAGATGGTCACCGCCGACGGCGACTTGTCATCCGGCGTCAATAAAGCGTAATTCTTGCAGAGCAAACCATCGTCGAGCAGAAAACCGTATTCTGGCCTTTCGTTTATGACCCAATCGCCCTGTTTTCTGATAAGTTTTCCGGCTACAATAGAGCCACTATCCGTCCTCGGTTGTCAGATGATAATATGCTTTCTTTTCAGCAAAGCCAAGGAGGGCCCGCTAGGATGCAGCGCGTCTGACAATCGCCGCGTAATGATACGGCGTTGCAATACCATAGTTGTATATCTATGTTACTCATTATTTTTCATTTCTAAACTTCATTATTTTTTTGTATAGTTCAAACTACTTGCCATAGTTGACGGAAAATGTGCTGGCATGACTGATGCATTAATCATACCCTTTTTTTTTTGGATTGATTATTGAAAGCAAACATGATCCGTAGACGATAACAATGAATGCTGTAAATATATATTTAACTCTCGCATGATGAGCCCACTTAATACCGAGGTAACTAGTGGGTAACTATAGTGTGAATCCACATAAAACTGCGGTGAGCGCTGCTCGCTGTTTTGCTTTTGTTGCAACTAGACCCTTTCCCGGGATCTCTGACGCTAGTTTATTATTAGGCCAGTGACTTCTTCCAAGCCCTCGAATCGCAACTCCTCACCACCTATGAATATACAAACGCGACTTGCAGCAGCTAACCACCCCGTTTCTCGCCTCTGTCCGCGTGCCATGATGCTGGATCATTCTGGCTCAAATTCCTCGCATATCGTATAAACTCGTGTCGCACAACCCCGCATCACAATGCTCTCCGACCTCATTTCCTCAACACTCCTCGAATGGATCAACAGTTTTGATTTGGGCACAACCATTCGATCCATTGACCAGTTGAGCGATGGCTCCATCCTTTGGGATACTCTGCAGGACATTGACCCGCAGTACTTCCTTGGAGAACTACCAGAGCGTTCACCCTCAGACCACTGGGTCCCACGATGGCAGAACCTAAAACACCTCCATAAGGCATTGATCAGTTATATAAGGAATCAGAACGATGGCGAAGTACCTTCGGGCCTCAATATCTCTCCTGACTTGAAGGCCATCGCAGAAATGTCGTCGATGAAGGAAACAAACGAACTCCTGAAGTTATTCCTTCTTGCAGCCATTAGTTCGCCAAATGCGGAAGCCTACATAACGACCATGCAGAAGCTGTCCACATCGACACAAGAAGGGCTGAAGGATATTATACAAGAAGCACAAAATCCGTCTGATGAAAGACTGGAGGAACTTGATTATGAGCTGTCCACCAGACGAGATATGCCCATGGACCCTGAACTGCGCTTCGAGGAACGCTTCGGAAAGGTGCTGGCCGAAAAGGACAAACTGTTCAATGAAAAACAAGAACTTGAGAAAACAGTGGAGGATTTACATGACCGCTTAGCTCGACTTCAAGAGAGCCACGATACGGTTTTGGATAGACTCACATCTACTGAGGATCGCTTGATGACCCTGAAATCCGGGAAGGGGGATTTGATACCGAACGCCAAAACGTTGGAGAGCAGAACGCGCCAGCAGGAGGATATTATTGCGTCTCAAGAAGCTAAAATCCAGGCGTCTCAGGACGAAGTCGATAGTCTACGGATGACTGTCGAGTCATTACGTGTAAAGAATCAGAGATTCCAAAAATTGCAAGATGACTACGACGAAGTGAAGAACGAACGAGACCACCTTTCTAGACGAGCAAATGCGGCGGAGAAATATCGACAAAAACTCCAAGTTAGCCACGATTTCGAAAAGGAGAATATCGCGCTCAAAAATCAGGTCAAGGATTTACAGCAGCAATTGCGAGATAGCGATATTAACCAGAAATCTTCATCTGAACGGGACGTGGAGCTGGAGGAGTACCGTCGCGTTCTCCCAAGAATAGAGCAGGATCGTCACGAGATTCAAAATGTTAAGAAGCAGCTAGAATTTAACAACCATGCTCTCACCGAGAGGCTTCAAAGCGCAGAAGATCAACTTGCCAAGGACGAAGCCACCATCAGCGAATTGCGGGACCGAATCCGGGAACTTGAGGGTCTGGAGAGCCCAACTACACCTGGAAGCACAACTCCAAAGGCACACGGGACTTTCCAGAGAGATCTTGATGAAGTTGGGAGACGAGAAGCACAGTTGTTAGTATCATATGTCTTGTAAACAGTTCAAGTGCTAACTAGTTCTAGGAAAATTGAGAATGAAGAGCTTAAGCGGGAGCTTGAGAAATTCACCAGCGGAATATCGCCTTCGAGCGTAAGGATATCCCAGTACCAGTCACCTGGCCACAGAAACATGCTGATAGTCAATCCCAGGATACCGCAAAAGCGTCCCCTAGGGTTGGACTTGGTGATACTAAATTTGCAGAGAAGTGGGAATCACACCTTCCATTTACATCGACTAAGATCTAACGAATGTCACAGTGATGCATATAGAAAGCTGCAAAATGAATATTCAGCCATTCAAAGGAAACTTGCTGATGCACAAAGCGAAATGGAAGCAATAGAACAGCAGCTCCAGGATTCAAAATCCAAACGTGAGTTTATGCATTTCTAAGATAGAATTCATCTTGCGCCTCTCTTACTGATATTGTCGAAGTGGGCGGGGTCAGCAAGGAGAAACTCGACATGGTCGACGCGGCAAACGACTCTTCTCCCCCTGACTTGCTAAAAATTCGTGATGACGTGCATGCCCTTCGAAGCAAAATCCAGGATCTCGAAACCAAGCTCACTGCCAGCCAGTCACTCGTCCAGAATGTAACTGCTGAACGTGATTCTGTCCGGAACATGATCACTAAGAAGGAGCAAGAAATGCAAGGCGAAGACCAGGCTACCATGGATGAGATGAAGAAGCTTCTTGACGAGGTTACCGCTAGGTTCAACAACAATAATGCGAACGGGCCTCAGCTCTCAGGGACCGATTTACTCAGGCAGTTTGCGGAGACTATGGAGCGGAGCGCTGAAAATATGGCCAAAAGAGCAGAGGTTAGTTCGCATAAAATTTTGCCTCCCAAGTTTCTGTTTGCCCATTTGTTCCTATCATCAAAGTTTCCCAATGGGAAATTGATATATGGCTTTCCTGGTTTGGCAATGGGTCCTTCCTTGTCTCCAAGTCCCTTGTACACGATGTCCAACACTTGGGTCTGTCCAAAACACCCCTTTTTACATCCAATAAATACAGCCAGAACTAGAGGTTGACCATTCGTAGATCCGGAGCGCTCTGGCACTCTGGCAATGGTTCCTCCTTTTCGTCGCGCTTGTATTTGCAATTTTTCATCGCCGACCCCGTGCCACTGTATTTTGACATTGAAGCGTTCCTTTCTCCATATATCTCTTTCAAACCTCACCCTCGGGGTTCTAATGCTAACTCGGAACCGAACGATTCGGGTGAGTGCAACCAAAACAGCACATAACCAGCAAACAAACTTATCAAATCCCTACAAGACCGGATCCAGCATTCCGAGGAACAGGAGTCGAATAAAGAAACTGAGGTATACCTATTTAAACTTCCCTTTCTATCTGCAATCATAAACATAACTATCCCATGGAAAATGAAATTACTACTACTACTTGCTAGCTCGCTGTAACAGTTTTCGGGACGAAAATAAGAGAAAAACGTGTCTAACTAAATGTCTACATTAGAAAAAGTTCATGCAAGTTATTCAACGCCAAGCCCGCGAGATCGCGCTCATCTCATCTGCATGGTACGACCAGCAGTCCCGACTGCAGAACAGCAACGTTTCCATGCTGCGATACAGACACCCGGCAAGCACCAGCTCGAATGGCATGGAAGTCCATCGAAGCTGGCTTGCGAAGCAAAGAGCGCTTGTTTCGGGAAGAAAATAACCATGAAATACTATATATCATAATATATATTCAACAGAGATAGAGTTAGAAAGCGAGGAGGTTTGATGGAGGAAAGATGTTTTTTGGAGCAACATGATCGAATGTGGGGGAATATGAACATCGAGCGCGAGACCAAGGCCGTCTAGATATAGCTTTTCTAGTTGTGATTTGTGCGTTGGAGACAAGTTGCTATTTCTATTATCACTATGTCCATTTTCGTTTTTCCCCCCGTTCTCTTCGCCATATTAGACATTTGTGTAATGTGTTCTTTCTTTTAATCCTGCATTTTCATTCCATTTTCCCTTTATTTTTATCTCCCGCATTTCTTTCCCCTATCCTATCTTTTTGTTTTTGCCCACTCCCTATTGGATGTATTCAGCATCTTGGATTCTAGTCCGATGCCACAATCAACTATCCTTCCCCCTCTTTTTGTATAAATTGTTCTTCCCTAGAGACTGCTTTAAAAACAGGAGGCGGATTGACGGTGTTGAGCAGCCCACTGGCATTTCTATCCCTTATCCCTTCGCTATATATTCCCTTTTCCCCATATACTTACGTTCAAACAGGTCTGCATCCGTATTCCACACTTGACTTCCACATATACCCCTTTCTGTCTTAGTTGGACTGTTTTTAAGTTTGCCACTGCGCTATATTTCAACTCTCATTTTTTTTTTGCCTTTGGATGATTTTCACCTATACAAGTAGACAAAATCATTTCTTATGTTTTGCTTTAGATTCCAGCGCTCCAGATTTCTAATAGTACGACTTCTAACTATATTATTTTGTTTACAAGCAAACACCTTTGTTTTTAGTAAATTAGACAACCTTTCGCATACATACTGTACTAGGACAGTAGAAATTTGGAGACAGGGGACAAAAAATCAACTAGGAAAGGCGAACTTAAAAAGGAACTAATATCCCTATATATCCTGCATTATCTAAAATTTCCGAAACGGTCTCAAATCGGAACCTTGAATAATATATACATATGCTTGTTGTTATACATTCTGCTTCCTACTTTTGCTTACTTTTTATTGACCTGGCGGCTGCAACAGGAGTTCTATGTCGTCGAAGGGGAAGAGAATAAAAAGGAGGGGAGAAAAGGAGCTGGGAAAACCCACCTCTCTGGAAGACATTGGCAATTCCAATATACGCATATGGAAAGTAGAGAGAGAATGGACAAGATAATCGCATCCCCATTTAAGCCCACTGCCTCGGATTCTTCAAGACGTTCATCAACTCTCTTTCCCTTGCCTTATCGTCACTATCGATTGCATCGCTTTCATCCCCCCCGCCAGGAACCCGAGAACTACCATCATCAATTCTTGTTCCCGAGACGGGATCCATATACTTCCACTCGGCCGTCCGCGGTAGACTCATCAGTATACTCTCCACACGTGCACCAGGCGTGCGCAACCCGAAGCTCGTACCGCGGTCATACACGAGGTTAAATTCCACATACCGGCCGCGACGGAGTTGTTGCCACTCCTTCTCCGCAGGGGTGAAAGGCATATCCTTGCGCCTTTCGATAATGGGGATGTACGACGGGAGGAAGGAGGCAAGGGCATCCGTGACGAAGGAGAAGAGGGCTTCCTGGGCGTTTTGTGAGGAGGCGTGGGAGTGGGGGTGGAGTGTGGAATGGGAAGAGCGGTTGAAGAATTCTGCATCGAGGTCATCGAAGAAGATACCGCCGACACCGCGCGCCTCACCGCGGTGGGGAATGTAGAAGTACTCATCGCACCATTTTTTGAAGCGCGGGTAATAAGTGCCGTCATGTTTATCGCAGACGTTCTTGATTGTTTTGTGGAAGTGTTCGCAGTCCTCTGGGAATAGGTATGAGGGCGTTAAATCTGTCCCGCCCCCAAACCACCAGTTCTTGTCGCCGCTGAGCGGGTTCTTTGGGTCTGCAGTCTCGAAGTAGCGGTAGTTGAGGTGGACGGTTGGGGCCATGGGGTTTTTTGGGTGCAGAACGAGGGAGAGACCTGCGGCGAAGAAGTCCAGAGAGTCGACGTCAGCGGCGACGAAGGACTTGTGATCTGCGCGCATCTTCTCAATGGCTGGGCGAGGCAGTTTGCCGTAGACAACTGAGACGTTGACGCCAGCTTTTTCAAAGACGTTACCATCCTGCAGAACGCAGGAGATGCCACCGCCGCCGCTGGGGCGGCTCCATGTATCAGATTTGAATGATTTTCCATCAATCCTGGATAGTTCATCCACGATCTTCTGCTGGTGCTCCTTTATGAGCTTCTCCATCCGCAGACGCATTGGCGAGGTTTCGGTGATGGAGGTTTCACGTTTGGTCGCTTCATCTAGTTCCGCTATTGAGGGGGCGTCAAGTTTGGATTCATTATCGCCGGTTACCTGAGAGTGTGGATTAGGTTTTATCTAGAACGTGGATAGAATCAATATACGAATATAGATTTTAATTTACC